TTTTCAATTTGTCAATATTAATAAGAAATGTGATACTGCATGTTGTCTCGTTAAGATCGTAACAGTTTAATTAAAATAAAATCCTGTTTTTTGGTAACTCACGCCATGCTCGCGCTGCGACGAATTGACTATGGTTTTCACCCTAGGCACCGCATACAAAAACAAACGCTAATGTAACGCACATGCTTGCACCAGACTATTCCTCATTTGCATACGTGTTCAAAAATCTTGCACATGCAAATGATCCAATACCAGGGTGAGAGAGCGGGTAGTGATGGGCGCGTACTGCTCGACACCCGGGGGACGAGGTTGAAGAAACCCTTCTCTTTGAAAAAAAATCACAACGTACTCAACCTCGTCCCCAGTGCTTACTTTATTTCCAACGTTGTTTCCAATAGTAAACCCTGGATAGGAAACTTCCTACCTGCATCCTGATTCGATACCGCAATTGGCTAGAAATGGATTTATATCGTGTACTTGGTGTTGTTATTCACAACGTGCAGTACGTGTTTTCGCGATCATTTTATTTTTGACTTTAGGACCGAAAAGTTTTGATTATTTTTACCGAATAGGTATTTATGAATGGGAATAAATATGTGCTTGAACGGTGTTAAACACTATGTTTAAGACTGGTTGGAGTCTGGATGCTGATAATAACCCTCGCCTTTGGCTCGGTAATTATCAGCATCCGAACTCCAACCAAGTAGTCTTAAACATAGTGTTTAACACCTCCAAGGCACTCATGAAAGATGACTGCTTCAAAAAATAGGCTACATAATTTATATCATATTTCTTCCATTGGTTAGGGTTGGTAGTAGTGGAAGTATGCCGTTTGGTTGTGTTTGTTTTTTGGGGGGGACCCTGTACTAGTACAGGGTGCCCCCCCCCCCCCAAAAAAAAAACCCACACAGAACGGCATACTTCCACTAAACACAGTTATGTTTGAAGTTTTGCTACGAGGGTTTTTCATCATACTACATGTAGAGTGATAGAGTTACAGATATAGTGTAAAGTGTGGTATCTGTTTCCGTATTACGTGCACCAAGTCATGTAATGCGACCTTGTCAGTTTATTGCCCATTAGTTGACGCCTCGTGAGCTTAGGATACGCACATTAAATTGGTGACTTTTGTTCGTTCGTCAAGGAACCAAACCTTTTGTTTCCACATCGCGGCTTGCCGTTTTGTTACTTGGGTAACCATGGCAACGGCATGGAAACATGCAGGGATGTACCAGGCCCTCCCCCCTCCCTTTCAGCCAGCGGCATGTTTCCTGTAGGTCTTCGGTAACACTATGGCAACCGGTGTTATGGAGCGAGTAATGAGTAAGAAAGGCTGTTAATTAAATATCACTTGCGGAATACACAAAGGGAAAAAGATGTGGTCCCATTCTGCAGGGCTAGCTTTTACCCATACGGTCTGGCCTGCATCACCACTGACTCACCTAATGGATTTGTATACATCTTTGAGAGGAAGTCGGGCGTGCGTTGGCTGGCCAATTTATCATGTAATGAAATGTACGATCGCGGAAAAACAGAGGTTTACGTTATTGCTAACTGCATACCAATTTTTGTTGGTTAATTCTTGTAATTGATCGTGTCTTTGGGAGAGGAAGAATCTCAATTGCAAAAGCATCTTGATTCACTCACTAATAAAGACAGATTAAACAATTCACCGAAATGGAACTTTAAGTGTACAGTGTATTAGATATACTTTATTTGGTAGTCACGAGCCGATATTTTCCCCCGATATGACGTCTATATCAATGCAGTAACGTCATTCAAAGTCCACTGGGCGTATCATTCAGCGAATCTGTTACCAGTACTACATGATGTAGATTAAATGAATTATTTAAAACTCAGGCAGTCTTTTTTAATTTCCTTTTCCTATGAACGTAAAGGAAGCAGAATTATTTACGACTTGTGCCATTCATTAAAAAAACAAAACCAGTTATCACGTGTTTAGATCACATGCACACTCATTGGAGAATTAGAACTGGCGATCAATAACCTGATGAACTCATATTAATCTGTTCCCAAGGTGACAATAGTACGTTGCGTGTTTACAGTATGCAGAATGTAATACATTGACAGGATTCAATTTGTTCAAAGTTTTGTTATTGCGATAACGCTTTTAACACAAAGGGATGAAAGTGAAGTATAAAGTGTTTGTAGACTTCTCACAGTGTCATACCACAAAGAACGTAACAAAGGACATAGAACACAAGACGGTAACCAAATTATAGGAGAATGCTAAATTGAACAGGCCGTAACTAGAAATTTACCTTGAGGTTTTAACACGGTTTTGTGGGGTACCTCAGGGTAAAACCTCCAGCTACCGCGTATAACTTGAGGTTTACCTCCAGCTTTTACAATATTTAACAAGATTTTTAGGGGTACCTCAGGGAAAGCCCTCGAGTTACTGCCTATAAGTTGAGGTTTAACTAAAGCTCTTACAAGGTTTAACAGGGTTTTTATGGGTACCTCAGGGTAAGCCCTCGAGTTACTGCCTATAGGTTGAGGCTTACCTCAATAAATTACAATGTTTAACAGGGTTTCGTGGTGTGACCTCAGGGTAAAACCATGAGTAAAACCATGACCTCCAGTTTTTACAAGGTTTAACAGGGTTTTGATGGGTAGCTCAAGGTAAAACCCTCAGTGACCACCTGTTTAATTGTTCATGCTCCCCTTAGTTACTGCCAATATATCCTTAAACCGCAAGTAGTTCCAGGAAATCATGATTAAGAGTGTAACAGGCACGTGGTTCTCCCTTTTTCTCCTGCTGGCCTGTTTTTAATCATTTCGACGGATGCTCGTACCGCGACGTCTGACCAGTTTATTGATGGATTCCCCGAGTGTCTTAGGACTGTCATGTATGCATGTCACGCTTGCACGCCAGAGTGCAGTCACTCCCTGTCTGATTGGGCTTCCGAATTGGCGGTTGTGTTCTCAGACAACCCGTTTTAAGGGACACAGAATGGTTAAAACCGACCCAATGTGGACTTCTTTTGAAGAGAAATGAAAGTACAAAATGTAAGAAATGTATTGAAATCGCGTACTGATAAATCAAAACCTACTCATGGTGACTGACTCACTTGAAGTTATTGACACAAAAGGCAAAACCAATTCTGTGTTCGTACTGGAAAATGAGCCACTTCCATGGAAATGGCATATTTCACCACAACCATTAATTTGAAGAAAAACAATTCCTGTGAAAGACAAGGTTATTACCATTCATATGAAACACTCGGTGTTTTTCTCAATGTACTCTATTTGCCACCACAAAAAAAATGGTGAACTTTGTTTCAGATCATGCTGACTCACCCTATATAAGTCAATTTGGTGCAAGTTTGGCCGTGTAGCACCTGACTACTTTGTGTGAAGATTAGGGAACAGGAATCTCTCGAAGAAGACGAGTTTATCAAAAGCTTTACCACAAACTGCCGAAGGTTATGTATGGAACTCAATATGAGTTAGACGTACTACAGGCAACCAGCAGACCTATCGGATGACAAACCAACGGCCACTCGCAAGCTCAATCCATTAACGGCAGCTCAATTAGCTGAGCAGCGTCAGCTAATGAGTCGATCAAACATCATTTGTCCATTATGACCCTCAACATGAGACTTGGAGACGAAGGAGATGAGGGGTACGATACATCATTATTGACCTCCTGACAAATATTATACACCTTTTTGAATGGGTAATTGCTATGAGTTTACATGAATTTGCGTGAACTGGCAACAGCTTTTGTCTATTACTGCACTTTTACGATATGTATTATATATGAGAGGGAATGTTTATTCAACTTTGGGTAATGTTTAATTTAATTTTTTTTTTAAAAACATTTTAATCCTGATAATGGAGCACTGAAAATGGGTAAAAGATTAATCGTCTGCCATTGACATCTTGAACCTGTAACAGATGCGAAATCGTGAGTAATTTTAATTATTTAGTGAACTAATTTGACGTATCAGCATAGAGTGGGCAGCTTTTGGTCCCGTTGCGTGGCTACAAGCCGTCAATTTCGTCATTGCTCTGAAGCCATGGAAGTATAGTCATGTGGTAATGTTATATTTGCCCTTTGTGTTCAAACGACAAGCAAAGATTACCATTTTTAAATGGAGGTCCCAAAAAGACCACAAGTGGGGCCCGGGCAGTCTGGCTTTGCCGGCCTGGCTTTGCCGGCCGGACCATGCATGAGGATACGATCCTCCTTATCCGGACAAAAGACAAAGCATGCAAAACCCAAAGGTTACGTAAAACAGACTTAAAGGGTGCGTTCGAGGGTGTTACTCTTCATACTCGCGGGTGCAGGAAAATCTTGCGTGCGCATTACTCTTCGTCACTCTAGTACACTCTTTGTGTGAGCGGGAGGCGTATTAGCACGAGTTAGCACAAGTAACACGCTCGAACGCTGCCAAACATTAGACCGCCCACTAAGGACGGGCGGAATATAAGTTCAGATGTTTGTCTAAAATCTCTGTTAGACAAAAGAAAAAACAGGCAAAATCCAAATGTTTCATACAACAGAATTACATAGTAGACCTCATAATTAGAATGGGCAGAGCAAACTCTCCGAAAGTTATTCTTATTGCTAACTTCACCATGCAACTTACTCTTACTTACTCTGGCGACTTCCATCGAAAAATTAGTGATGGCTCTCCAGCATTGTCTTTCTATCATGCAACTATTTGTTTGTAGCTGGGTGTCTTGGCACAGTGTATCAACATATGTAGTCATTGGTCGTCCCACGTTTCGCTTCCCTTGGGTTGGCTGCCAGAGAATCAAGCTGGCCACTGGTTGATTGCTGGATCTTCTGTAATGCCCTGCAAACTGGAGCCGTCTCTTCTTGATAGTAGTTGTTACTTTCGGTAGTTGTCCGTAGAGCTCTTGATTGGTTGTGTGACTCTTCCAGCTGATGTTGAGTGCTGACCTTAGCAGTCTAGCATCAGATCAGACGTTTGTTTAACATCTCTGTATTGTCTCATTGGTTGTTTCAGAGAGAGTGCTGGAGTTGAGGACAGCTTTATAACACATGGATGTTACGATGACACCACCACGCTACAACTCGTACAGGCGGCCAGTGAAGTCTCTGGTAAGTTACCTCTACCATAATGTCTTGAAAAGCGTCTCTCATATACTACTTAACCGTCAGGCCAAATAAACCCACTGTAGTTTAAACAAGTTTTCTACAATGAATCTTGTATCGTGTGCACCTGTTGTGCTGCATGGTATTCCCGTCATCCATGACAATAAATGTATCCAGAGTAAATATACCTCTATATTCACGAGGAAGCAAGTTTTTTTTTATCGTGTTCCCCGAGTCTATATTTTATAAATTGTAAACTGTTAATTGAGTGTTAATTGATTGCAGTGAATCTGACCTCATTTACATGTTGTTTTAATAAGGCTTAACACATAAGGTTTTGTTTAATCACATTTTTTTTTATTATTCATCAGAGCAGACTGGTGTATAAGGGCCCAAGAAATGTTAATTTTTTAATGCAGTCTTTGAAAATGCACCTTGGTGTCTCATTTAACCTTATTTTCCATTTTCATTTTGCTGTTTTCAAGGTTATTTTGGTGCCTTTTTTGGTTTTTATGCTAATGCTAATTTCCATATTCATGAGCAAAAGCGTGATGTCATATCAGGCAGAAACCTCAATGTTGCAATTGGTTTGTGCACAAAAAGATGCCAGAATTTTGGATACTTTGCAGTTGTAAACTTTCTTTTGTTTAGTGATTCGTTGTGTCAGTTCACAGCAGTAAGCCAATTAGCAAATTCTCACAAATGTGAAATCTTCAATTAGCACATTTTTGGTTTCACAATTTCAACAGAAAACACCTTATATGAACAGTGTCTTACTGAAATGACATCACAGCAACAGCGCCCTCATATGTCAGGAAAAGCATTGAAAATGTTAAATGTTTAAAGATGTGCAATTTTCAGTAAAATTAACCAAAAAGGGATTTCAAATAGTTTTCATACACATAAGAGGATCAGAAAGTAGCACAAAATATGTTCCTAAAAAATATTCACTTCATGGGCCCTTTAATTTGTAATAAGCCTATATTTCATTGCTTTTACTCACAAGTTCCCAAAATTAAGAGTTTCCCTCGCTTTCAATTTAATATGGTCGATTCGTGAATAAGGTTTACGGAGACAATCACAAGTTCAACTCACAAGTCAATTCAAAACAGGTTACAGGGATTGAACAATGATAAAGGGAATGCCTCTGTTATGGTCATCGAATTTAAATAACTTGTGTACAATGTGAAAGCAATTTTGCCATTATCATTCGTGATGCATGCGACACACCTGGCATTCTCAGTGTGCGAATTATAGGCCTACGACATTCTATTGTTTTATTGCGCTAAAATTAAACACCAAGCACACCCTTAGACATTGTTTCAACTGAGTTTGTAGATCAGAAGCGAATGCATTCTTATCGATTACACGTCAGTCCTTAGTTAGTACATCACTAAGTCTAAGATCATGTCAATGAAATGCGAGCCATAACTTTGTCATTGTTCATTCTCTGTGAAGTGAATAGCGATTGACTTTAATTTACTTGATTGACTTGCAATCGACATATTACTAACCTGACTTGTGTTTTGTCTTGCGATTTTTCGAACTGATTTGTGATTTACTCCATTCCAATCGCGCTTAAAAAGCTGTTATGAGCAGAAAACGTTAATTCACAACGTCAAAAAGACTTATAAGCCTTTTCCATGGAAAACAAATTGGATACTACGGTAAAAGCACAGAGGTTAGAAATAAACCTATGCACTAAAAGAAAACTTGCCAAAAGCCCAGTCGCTAATGCATGTGTAAATAACTCCAGACGATTCAATTCAATTAACGCACGTCATTTCGAATAGCGGAGATTTGCTTCTTATTAAGAGGCAAAGCCGGAAAAGTCAACATTACCTCGACCCCCGTGTTTCTCCAGGGAGAAATTCGCTTGTTGCATCCCACGAGCATTGCACGAACTATTGACATACTCGGGTATCCGCCCTGGGAGGAATGCTAACAAGTGTGTCACGCTAGCGAAATTGCATCGGCAAACACACATCTTATCGGGAGATCATACATTATCTGTGGTCTGTTATACAATAACCAAAGTACTTGGAAATTTAGCGGTGTTTGATGATCTCCAAGTACACACCACACACATCACACTTCGAATATTATGTTTAAATTATGATTTCGTGTTGTTTTCACGAGATGGGTTTATTTTGCCGTATGTCCAATAGATGAAGAGACACTTTGATGAAATTAATCAAACTTAGAATACTGAAGTGAGCTAATGAGGTTGTGGCATTTCATCTCCCCCTCCCCCACACTAGGTTCTTCCGCCCACAAGAAATAGAAAATGCTCGTATTTTCCCCATTTGCTGTAATGTGTTTAGGAATTGAGGAATGAACTTGTGAAAAACGACCAATGGACTGTAGCGAGTCTGTTCAAGTTTTCTCTGATGTAGATTTTGCATGAATGCACAACACACAGTAAATTCTCTAATATATTTTTTTGTTCTTGAATCGGTTCGGCTTTGTTTTTGTTTTGAAGTTTTCCTCTGCAGGGTGAGTAAAAAAAAAACGAAACCCAAATGTCAGGACCATTGTTTTAGTGAAGTTCTTCATGTAGCACTTTGAAAATCTAGGATATGAAAGCCCAATTCATATCTTTTAGTACAAGAATCATTCAAACTACTCATGTACTTTTCAAGTTACGGAATTTTAAACACAACCAATGTTTTAAAGTTCTGTCCACGGATCACACAAAAGTGTGCGTTTTTTCAGCAAAACGAAAACAATTCACACACATCCCAATGTGATTTGTTTTCGTTTTGCTGAAAGAACACTGAACGTTTTTTTGATCCGTGAACAGAGCCTTAAAACGGTGGTTGCGTTTAAAATTCCGTAACTTGAAAAGTACATGAGTGATTTTAATGATCCTTATTCTACAACAAAGTTTATAAATTGGGCTTTCGTATCCTAGATTTTGAATGTGCTACATGCAGAACTTCACTGAAACAATAGTCCCGACATTTTTTTTTTTACTCACCCTGTATTTGGAAAGCCATTTTTAAGCAAAAACAGGTATATGCTCTATACAGTGAGTTCCTATTTTGCCATTCATGTTTTCACCTAATGACAATTTCCATTTTGTAATGGATGTACACCGGGGACGGTGCCAGTCTTGAAATTGAACATGCTTTTAAGCCATAGTAGAAATACTATACACCTATATTTAGAGGTCGATTCTGCCATTGTATTCGTGATTTGCGATCGAATGTTCTTTAAGGATATACGGCCAAGCCGTTATCAGCGTGTAATCGAGAGTTAAACCATTTCTATGACGTCACACTATTGTTAAAAGTGTGGATTCGGATCTAGAATCTGATTATCTCTTACACTGGTCACAAAGTGTGGATTCGGAACGACGAATCTCTAGTAAAGTGTGGATTCGGAATTACGAATCCACACTTTGAACATGTCGGACAACTGTTCTCCATAATGAGCATGAATAGGACCGTCTGCGTGAAAATTTGCTTTCCGAAAATTACCAATGCATCTTCACTGTCAGATTTTCCGCCGTCACTGCAAAATCTACTTTTAGTCAGAAAGAAATCGTCGTCTGAACTATCCATTTTGACGTAAGGAGCCTGTACACACAAAATGACGATACACATGCTAAACACGCTAGGAAACAATGTTGCAAACCTGACGCCACTTCCGCGCTTGTGTACAACGTCTATGGAGAGTCATTTCAAGTATTTCCTAACAATTTTGGAAACATTTATTAGTCCTAGATTCATGTCTTATCATCATTTTTGCAACGAATGGCCTTCATTGAGATGATATATGAAGAAAAAAGTGGCGTCAGGTTGCAGCATTCTTTCCAATACTTCTGTTGACGCAATGGTTTAAGTCGAAGAATACACTCGCAAGTGTGGATTCTTAATTTACGAATTCACTCGGCGCTTCGCGCCTCGTGAATTCTTAAATTACGAATACACACTTTCTCTTGTATTCTCCTTAACAGAAGCGTGAATTGATGCACACTGAGTAGAACGTCTGTCATGACCTGAAGTATCAGTAGTGAATTATGGGTTTTCATTTTTGCGTGGGTCTTGATGAGACTGAAATATAAGCGATCGTCCGATGCCTTGCCTTTAAACTGCTGTGATTGTGAGTGGTGCCATCTACCATCCTTTTACCAAGTGGGTCGACGTTAAAGGGCAAACTTTTCAGATTAAATGTTTTTGAAGTACGTTTGTATTTTACAGTTTCTGTTTGCAATGTTTATGCTCTTTCCTGGAACATATGGGACTGTTGATGTGATGTATAAAGGTAAAGGTAAAGGGGACGAACCTGTGTTAACAGGAACGGAGTGCCCATCTCTCTTTCGTTAGCGAATGGGCCAGACTCATAAGCTGATGTGGGGGGAATCGCCACACCTCCTCCACAGCGAGTCTGTTACCTTCCCAGCATTGCATAAGGCCGGTGCCCATTTAACACCTGAATTGAGAGGAGTAATTGAGGTCAAGCGCCTTACTCAAGGGCACAACACGCATGGCCACGGCGGGGCTCGAGCCCATACCCTCACGATCATGAATCCTGTGCTCTACCGCTAGACCGCACGTGCCCACACGATGTGATGTCATGTTAGGCACACAATCTTTAATTTGTTTATTTTATTTATTTATTTATTTATCTATTGTTAGTACAAATAATGAGCCCCCATATCGCTTGCTCATTGACTGGCCATCGTTTACCAAATCAACAAAGAAACACACAACTAAACAAGTGTGAGTGTACAATAAGCTCTGGCCGTCTTGCATGAAATCTATCGGCGACGCCGATGGCACATATGGAACACCACACTTTAGACTTATACCTAGATGTAACAATTGGTGATAAATACCACGTGACTATAACATTCCTGCACATATTTTTCCTTAATTTACACACTTTTTATAAACATCTTTCGGAATTGTTGCAAACAATTTTTCTTAAGTATTTAATTAATTGGAGGCCAACATAGAAACGAGCCTTGCAGCTGTAACACTGCCTTTCTACCTAAGACG